TTTCTTTTTGTGGGTCTATACTTCACAAAGGATCACACGGGCAGACGCTACTGGAGAAGCACCTCTCATGGTTGGGATCTTGGGACTTACACCAATCACTGGTTCTCCAGATTGACTGTCCAAGGGACTCTCTATGGGCAAATGATCCCATCCAGAAATGAGCATGACATCTAAACGTGTGCAGTTTCTCTATGGGAGTTTGTGTGTTCTTCCCAAAGAAGTCTTTCATATGACAGCAGAATGAGCTGCTGCTGCTGCCACCACTGAGACTCTTTGGTTTTCAGTGCATAAAATCCAAACTGCATTGCAGGTGCTAAATTATGAGAGAGATGATCACCATGGAAGAAGTGCACAGCCAGCCTAGCCACTTCAAACAGTCATGCTGTGCTAATGTATGTGTTAATTTGCACTGTACTTTTGCCAGCATGTATGTTATCTATGACCACTGAAGCTTTATTTAGATAGACTTCTATTTAAATGGTGACCAGTGTCTTCAGTCTTTCCTGCTGCCTTTGCCATGTAAAAATGTTTGTTCCTGGATTAGGAACCTCTTTGGGGAGGCAAAGTATAAAATAAATCAGACTTAATTTTACCTGTTCACAAAATTAAAATCCACAGAAGTTACACCAAGGAGATACGACAATAAAAATATTAAAATAAAAAAAAGAGTATATGGGGAAGGGGGGAGTAGCAGAAGCTAATGGGTTGCTAATACATAGTAAGTGCTGATGTAATGAACTGGCTTACAGGTTTCTAGTGGCAAGCTGCAGAAAAGTGGTATTGAGGTACTTGTTAAAGAATCAGAGGATCAGTTTGGTGGGGGACAAGTAGACTATTTCATATATCATATATCTGGGAGCAGCAAAGGCTTGTCCTCTTATCAGACATGTGAGAAGTCAGATGAGCAGGTCAGGTATAGGGAGAGCTAGAACTTGGTGGCCAAGAAGTGTCCTGAAGATATGGTGGGCTGAAGCACTGTGAATCAACAGAACTTTGAGTGTGAGCAAATTTGGGGGAGGACATAAAAGGACTTACAATAAAGCATGAAATCAGTGAGCAGTTCATAGGAGTGTCACTGTAGCTGTTGTTTTGTTGAAGAAGTTACAGTACTTTGACTTGCAGAGTTGCAAAGAAAATGTATCTGAGTGATTGCAGTATTACAAATCTGAGAAGTGAACTCATGTTCAGAATTGAGATGAGCTAGATAGATGTAATTAATGGTATTCCCCTTATCAAGTAAGAGGATAGCCATCTTTTATGGTGATTGAAGCAAGTTAAGCTAGAGCTGAGTGATATGGTCGAGCAGGTAGGCAGACTGTAAACTGAAAAGGGACACTTCGCTCAAGTTTTCACAGACCTCAACATAAAAATGGTCCTGGAATGTCTATGAAATGCTGAACTCTAGTAACGGGTGGTAGAGAGAGAGGAAAAGAGGGTTGAGAACAAAGCCTTATGGGATCCTTCTATAGTGGTATAGTATTGTCTCCCTTGAGTAAAGCAAAACCTGGGGTGCAGATACACCAGAGGTAGTATTCTAGGAGCATGGTATGGTCAGTAGTATCAAACATTACGTTATAGTCAAAGATTGAGGGAAGGGTATGTAACTAACTGGCTTTCGTGGATGCCTTACATGGTGAAGCTATTGAAGAGATGAGATTTTTCTCCAGTATTGTGCTGAGATAGCTAATAGCAATTGGATTTGGTGGGTTTCTTTGTGATGTGATAGCTGTGGTTTTTAGCATGACAGGGATAGTTCTGCTTATGGGAGTCATGAGGAGATGTAGAGATATGGTCTCTAGAGTGGAGGTGGCTAGCTTAGAGTGGAGCAGTTTTGGTGGGGGAATATTGGCAATTTTAGCAGGAGCTGGGTGGAATTTAAAAACTACAATTTAAATGAATTTGTGGGGAAAACAGCATGAAAATGGCAATATATCTCCTTCAGAAAAAGCCTGAGTAAATATGCCTTGCAGGATCTGGAAGATCAGTAAGTAAAAACACTGGCCTTGTCTAGACTAGAGAAATAGGTTGTTTTAAAACACAGTAGGTAATATGGGTGTATTAACACTGGTTTAGACAAGGTTTAACATTTTTAAAGATGTGTTAGTTTATCATGGTCAACCTTAATTTCTTTGTGTTTAAAAACATGTTCGATAAGGTAACACATTTTAAAACGCAAACTTTCTTCATGGTTTAGCCAGGGCCACAGCAAATAATTGAATTCCAGACTTGAGGGCCCTCCACTGTCACCAGCTCCTGATATCTCATTTACAGACTGTTAGCTCGAAGATCTCTTCTCAGACATAGGGCTGAAGCCCATTTGGATACACTTGCATATTTGAATATAGAGAAGCAGCCTAGGATCTGATAAGGATCCTAGGTCTCAAATCTGAGTTACAAAAGATGGGTGGACCTTCTCATTCAGCTGAAGGGTACCTTCTCCATTTCCTTTGATAGTTTTCTTCAGACTACCATTATCACCTCCGACTAATTTGGAGTGGACTTCACCCTGTTAGCCGTGATTTTCAGCCAGACACCGAAAAAGCAGTGTGATTGAACTTTCTGGAACTGATGAACGATGTGGAGCTGAATTTCAAGGATATAGTGCGTGGGTTGCAACCCATTGATATCTCACTAGCTTCTCCATCAGCCTGATGTAAATGTTGAATAAGAGACGTAATAGATTGTAGGATCTGGCTGAACTTCATGTAAGAGAGCCCTTGGGGTTAACTAACTATCCCCATACTCCCCTCTGGTAGGTCTACTTGAAGAGAAATAAAGTTAGGAGGATAGAGATGATTGTGATGTGATTATGAATGGATGCTGCTTACATGGAGTAAAGTATCCAAGTCTTTGCAGTGGGTGGCAGGAAGGGTGGAGAAGGCAGGTAAATGAAGGCATGCAATGAGAGCGTTTGAAGAGTTGAGTGAGGAGTTTCAGTGACTTTAGAAATTGCAGAATGATTAAAATGTTACAGATTAGTGAGGGGTCTTATAGGACTAAGTGGCCTTTCCAAGCCCTTTACTAAACTATATGAGTTTTTTTGTTTGGCGAATCAATATTTCCCCTGTTGATGACCCGAAGTCCTGCAGGGTTGAAGTTCAATGTTATATTGGGACTTACGGGAGGGTGGACTACTGTGTGCCTAGATTGTCAAAGTAGCTGAGACATACGCAAGCATGTTGTAGTGTTCTGTACTGGGGAAGTTTGGGAGAAGAATCACCGAGGGATAGGATTTGACCCAAAGGGCAGAAGGTATAGGGTACTTGAGGTGACCGCTATAGTAGTGTGGAAAAGAGGGCAGTTTTGGTGAATTGGAGATTAAATTTAAATTATGCGTTGATGACTAAGCAGTTGATCCTTCAGGAGAAATCACTGATCTGGCCAAGAATGTGGTTGATTTTGTTTGGTGTCAGATTGGGAGAAACTAAAGGTGCGAAGGGGAGGCGAATATTTTGGCTGTCATTGAAACTACCACCTGTAGGCTGAGTAGAGGCTGAATGAGGTGAAGGAAGGAAGGATTAGGTTAAACAGTTAGGTGAATAACTCAGGGCTTGTCTAAACAAACAGTCTGCAGAAAGATCAAATTTTCATCTGCCATGGACTATCTGTGTGGATACTGCTGATGCACATTAAGTTTGTTAGTGCACTTTGATCTAGTCCTGTTTCAATGAGAACTAGCTCAGAGGTCATTAACCAATTGTTAATGGACATCAGCAGGGTCTGCACGGACAGTTATCAGTGGAAGGTTTTAAGCATGATAGATTCACACACACCAGGTTGCTGCAAACTAAATGTTCATGTGAACAAACCCTGAATTTTAGATTTAGAGAGAGCATTAGGAGAAAGCGACAGATATTGGGAAGACCAGGTGGGTGAGGTAATATCTTTCTTTTTCTTGGACCAACTCCAATAAAAGATATGACCTCACCCACCTTGTCTCTTTAATATCCTGGGACCAACACTGCAAACCATATTTTGGGAAGGAAGAAAATGAAGTCAAGAGAGAATGTTTGCGGCATGATTTGAAGCTGGCGATTCCACTCTCTGCGCCAGTGGCGTGAGAACAATGGGTGTGAGAGAGGCTGGGGAAGGTCAAGGGGACTAGATTAGTTTATATCAGGAGGGACTTTTCAGAATATAGGCACTGAGTTGAGCAACATGGGTTTACTTCTATGAAGGAAAAGCAGAGTTCCTTTTTATCTAAGTCTGCACTAAGAATCTTTTCCATAAAATACAGGAAAGTATTGACACTGCTCTGTTTTGTACTGTATGAAGATAACCACTAGCTAAGTGGATGGGGATTTATGTGTGGGGCAGGGGTGATGTTCTTATAACAAGCTCTGATTTGCATTGTTCTTTGCACTTGTCCCCGGCAGGGTTTTCTGCCTGATTTTAGTTGCTGTTAAACTCTCTCCACTTTTGTTCAGTGACATCAGCTAATATTTTATTTTGTGCAATGCTAATGTCTTGCTAACCCTGCATATGTTGTCTACCATCACCTCATCCGCATATCACACTACCTGCGTAGCTGTTCAGAGGGAAGGTGCCAGTTGCTGAGCTAATATCACCAGCATCTAGGCCACAAGGGTCTTGACAGCTTCCTGTGCAGTAAGTCAATAAAGCTATGCATTTAAAGCCAGTTCAGAGGATCAGTTTGTTCAGAGGCCACATGTGAATGCAACAGCCTGGGTAAACTGTTGAGAAGTTTGAAGGAGGCAAATCTGTAAATTAAGTTTGAGTTTGGCTGTTAAACTCGTGCCTGTTTGTGCTGACAGGCTATTAGCAATTGAGAATTAGGAATCACTTGCTTTAGCTGCTCACTAGTCCGCATCACTAAACCTCACAAGTATGTCTGACTGATTGAGTGGTTCTTGCCTGTTTTGATCTGTGCCTTGGGTGGGGGGGGGGGGCAGAAGAAATAGTTTGTATGCAGCTGCGTTTCTATGTTTAAAATGATTTTTTGCACTGTTCTTAACAAAGCCCTTGACTAGGCACCTAAGATATTAACCAGCTTCAGCAGATCATGCGGCTGACGGGAACACCCCCTGCATATCTGATTAACAGGATGCCCAGCCATGAGGTGAGACCTGACAGGATGTACAGGGGTTTGCAATTCAGGTCACCGCTTCTTGGGTTCACTAAATGCTCGCATGAGGCATGGGATGGGCACTAAGATAACTGCCTGCTACTGCAAGACTTTAAAACAACCCTAAAGCAAATCTCAAACTAGAATAGTGCAGACTAAACTGTTGGCCTCTGGGACGTAGGAGAACCTGAATGAGTTGTTGTTTTTAGAGCGTCATTTAACAGTTGAATGATTTACCACTGGATACTATGAAGATGTCTATATATCATAGCAGTGTATGATATGCTTCTTATGCCTTTTAGAGGAGGCAGTAAGCTTTTGCAATAGGTCTCTGGGCTGTACTTTGTGTTTCCACTTTTGCACAAACCATGGAGCAAGTCTTGATTGTCAATATCTCTAACCCCTTCCCCCCACCATGGATGGTTGGTAAGTGAGAGAGGGTAAAATTGATGTGCCTAATAAGAGTCTCAGAGGTACGAGCAGGAAAATCAAAGTAGGCAGGCAGTATATACACAACAAAATACTTCTGACAAATTGAGGCGCGCTCCATATCTTGGTGGCTGGGAGATGTTCTTTAACAAACATTTATTTCCACAGGCAAGAAACTACATCCAGTCTTTGTCCTACATGCCAAAGATGAACTTTGAAAATGTGTTTATTGGTGCCAATCCACTGGGTAAGGCTTGCAGCACTTCTCCTGGGAAGGGGATTTAGTGGCAGATATTGTTAGGTCTTGCTCATTGGTTTGGAGACTTGGGATTTTCCCTTTGGGTTAGTGTGAGGATGGATTTGTTTAGATGGGCTCTGGGTGGTGGAGAGGTGGAAGTGAGTGAGTCAGCTGTTCCATCTACTTTCAGGAACACCATTCTAATAGACCATTAGGAACTTTTTTCCACAGCAAGGTGTATAGAATAAACATTGCAACCTGCAGCATGATATTGCAACCCTGGTATAAGTCACTAGTTAAATATAAAATTTAAAGTCCTTGACGCTTTTATTTGGGCCTCTAAAGTAGGAGATATTTACCAGTTAATGTTTCAACTAGCTGCTTGGCACTGACTTCCTGGGAGATGCTTCTGCATTGTTTTAATACAGATCTTAATTATAATCCGGAGTATTTGCTCAGGAGAGGGAGAAACACTTGTTCTTGGCTTTGTCCTGTACACTTAGCTTGTGGTGTCTATATTAAAAGTAGAATCCACTACTGTATATTTTTTTAGCTAATTGCCATTTTAAAACCTATCACTCTGGCTGGCTGTAAAATCTTGAAATGAGGAAGTATGAACATTAATTCTGGCATATCTTGGAATACTGAGATTTGTTCACTCATGTTTGTTTTTGACTACGGAGTAGTTCAATACGGAGATGCCTCATATACCTTGAAAGGATGGGGGCGGGGTTTCATAAAAAACTACAAACTTCCTTAGGTGGTACTTATATAAATGTGAGCCTTAGAATAAAGTGTTTTGATGGCTCCCTGTGTGTAAAACGCCATTCTTTTCTCTGTCTCGGGGTTCTGATAGCTGTGGACTTGCTGGAGAAGATGCTGGTGCTGGACACAGACAAGCGAATTACTGCAGCTGAGGCACTGGCCCATGGCTACTTCTCTCAGTACCATGACCCAGATGATGAACCAGTGGCAGACCCCTATGACCAGTCCTTTGAAAGCAGAGAACTTGAGATTGAGGAATGGAAAAGTGAGTCCTGTGAAAGGTGGAATCACTGAGGCAAGCTGCATATCTTATGGCAGATGTCATGAGCTAACATCGAACTATAGCTTTTGTGGTTGGTTGGAGCAAACCTTTGGAGGTGGAGAGCATGAGAGGGAGCTGATAGAAACATTGTGTGTGCTGACAGAGGGTCTCATCAGTTTTGTTGCCTCTTCATTCATTGGGAATACCTTGTACTGTTCTGGTGACATGCTGTGTATAGAATGAATACAGTCATCTGCTAGTGGTAATACAAATATCAGTTCATGCAGACAGTGCCGTTCAACCCTTTGGAGACTGCAAAAGTATATCATGCCGGCATTCTGGAAGTGGCATTCCGATGTAGACTGATTTGGCATATCAACCCATTGGCTTTTTTGCTCAGAATAGCTAGAGCATGTTTTCTTTTTGAAATGTGGCTCTAAGGATTGGAATCCAACAGAAGCTGTGTTATAAAACTGCAATCTTGCTGTATTAAGTCTGTCTCTCTTTCCCCTCCAGGTCTGACTTATGATGAAGTAGTCAGCTTTGTGCCACCACCGCTTGACCCAGAGGAGATGGAGTCCTGAGAAACTGCTTCTCTTCTGTTTGTCCCACTTCACTGTGAGGGGAAGGCCTTTTCATAGGGACTCTCCAAATATCATTCAAGTGCCTCTTGACACAAAGATATTCTCCTTGGTGGAGGGGTTTTGTGTGTGTGTGTTTGTGTGTGTACTGAATGGGGGGGAGGGAGGAAGGCTGACTGTATGTAAACATGCTGCATGCTACCGTGTATTCTGTGTACAGCTAAGGACAAGCCTCTGAAGACCTATTTGTGACTTTTTTTTTTTTTTTTAATTTTTTTAGCCCTTCCAGAGTAATAGACAGCAACCAATCTGCACTGCTGCTGGGGCAAGGCAGACATAATGCGGGGAAGCTCAGTTAATTCTCAGTCACATTTGTTGCCATTAAAATGGTTCTCCTCTGAGGAAGTGACTTTACAGATAATGGAAGGTAGCTGTATACTTGAACGGAGCCCCTTGCTTTCTGCAGCAACAGATTTAGGGTGATGTCTTTTCTATTTCATGTTAGATGGCTGATCTACATCCAAAGCCTCTTTCCAGTATTGTGTACCAGCAGAAAGTATGAATATCTCTGTTTAATTCTTGAAACATGAGAAGGATTTGTTTGAAAATGTAAATATGTTTTGTGCCTTAAATGAATGGGAAAAGAGTGAAAGTGAGTTTGGAGTTAACATTCTTGAATGGAATTCTGAGCCCACTGCTTTCTGTGGGCTGCAGGTAGCCAGGCATGAACACTATAACCAGGAAGTTTACTGTCCAAGGCAACAGACTGTGTGCCCTTCGATTGGGAATCACCATATTTCTCCTCCTTCTATTTCTCTCATTCTGAGGCTTCCCAGCATTAGCTCCCAATAGACACAGGCCAAAGCTGGAGATGATTCATGCTGTGTCTGTGTGCTTGTGTACTTTATTCCTAACAAGATGGGGTGGTGTTTTTTTTTTTTGTTTTTTTTTAATGTAGCTGTATGTGCATGTAGACCTACTTTTGTTGCATTATCTTGACGGAGGGCACTGGAGCAGTAAGTCTGCCAGTGAAATACTGTACTGAGTTCCTCTGCTGTAGGAAAATCACAGCATCCTCCCTCTTGTAGCACAACTCATTGTGAACATATCTGCCATTCTGGGAGCTTTGATAAAATATATGGGACAGATAAACATGCACCTCTTTCTTTTTTCTGGGTTCAAAAGATTTGGATTTATAGGGTAAAGGATAAATAAAGTCCTTCAAAGGAGCAGCTAAACGTGAGACAATTTAATTGTCCAAACTTAGATGTTATTTTGCCCCCCAAAAGAAGTTTCTTAGAAATGCTGGAGTCCAAAACAAAGAATAAGCATGCGTGAAGTCAGAACCTCCCTTTCACTGTCTGTATTGTGTGGGTGTGTAATTAACACTTTAATAAGGTGATTTTATTTTTACCCTCCTGGGAAAGAGCTTTTTGGCTATTTTAGTGGGTTGGTCTCTGCCTGAGGAAACAAGAAAAGGGAGTATGTTTAAAGACAAAGTTGGTTAGACTATTTTATATTTTACAGGGATCCTGTGTGAATGAAATGGCCATGTTTAGGGACTGGGGGGAGGAAAGTGTCTTTCAGTATTTTGTATACTGCAGCTGTCCTGGGTGGCTCAGAGGCCCTTTTTTTGTTTTTTTGGGATATACGGGAAAAGGCATTTTCATAAGTTCATGTATTGCAGGCATCTCCTGTGTGGGAGAAGCCGGGCTTTTGCAGTATTTTGTATCCTGATGGATCTTTGATATAGGAGTTGAGAGCGGCTGTTTTAATGTATTTATTCCTATGCATAAAGAGGCAGCACAAAGGGGTGGGAGGTGGATGATAAAGCCATCAGTTTTTCCTAGAACACTTTCCAGTGATCTCTCTTCAGGTCAAACCCTCTTAGAGAAGCTTGGGATAGGGTGGAGAGAGCAATTCTTTCATGCCTTGGGTACAGAACTCTCCCCCTGACCAAATGAAATTGACAATAGAAAACCTCCTTCTCTCCTGGATCTGCAGTCCAGGTATTTAAATGGAAATCTGTAAACCTACAGCAAGACTATTTTTATCAGCCATGTTATGTGTAGACGCTACAGTGTGATTTCATGCAGAAATATCGCTAAAGATTTTTTTAAAATATAGACATTGCATGTATGAGTGGGAATCTTTCGAAGTCCAGACTCTAATGGGAGCTCACGTGGCACGCACTCCCTGTTTTCAGAGCGGTGCTGTTCTTCTGCCTGAATTCTGAACAGAAGTACACACTTCAAAAAAGAAATTCTGCTATTTTGTTTGTATCCATGAACTTTGCTGTAATCAGTTATGTCATATAGGAGGTCACACAATACCACTGGTTTAAAATAAAACTTATTTTTCAGATTTACTGGCTGCTGTTGCTTACAAACTTGTAATGTTAAATGTTTCATTTAAGAGAGTTTGGCTCCTCCAAGAGACTGCATGTTTGGTTTCATACTGGATCCTAATTGATATAAAGGCTCAGGATGCATACCTTTCCTCCACTTACTCTGAAATCAGTATCCACAATCCTTTGACTTGTCTTCTCCAACCAATACAGAGACCGTTTAGAATTTGACCGTGAATGTTGTCTGCCAATGAAAAGTGTGCTTTCTAGTTCCTAGGCAGCTCTGTTAGTGGAAACTTAAAAAGTGTTCCGTCCAACATAATGGTCCAGGTTTTGCCTCTGTTGCAGAGCTGACACTAGGGAGGTTACCTATGGAGGTGGTGGAATCTCCTTCCTTAGAGGTTTTTAAGGTCAGTCTTGACAAAGCCCTGGCTGGGATGATTTAGTTGGGGATTGGTCCTGCTTTGAGCAGGGGGTTGGACTAGATACCTCCTGAGATCCCTTCCTACCCTGATATTCTATGATTCTACTCAGCCCTCTGCCTGCCCCTCTTCTAAGTAATTCTGATTTTTGTTTTCTTTCCTCTTTTGCTATTTACAGGTGAGTGTTCTCTGGTTCTTGTATTGTCACTTAGATGGTGCAATCACGGGAGCATAGTCTTGCAGCTTTCTGCGTCTGTAGGATATAAGGTTCCCTAGTATACCACTCTTGCAGAGGTGCAATTACTTGTTGATCAAATCAAGCTGCATTTTTGGAAATCTCTAGGAAGAGTCTGACAATAGCTGGCTATTACCAAAGAGAAAACTTTATGGGGAAATTTTATTACACAAATGTAAAGAGTGAACTCATTCAATAGATGCACTATGCTAACAAATAAATGTATCCCAAAGTACTGGCCAGTATACTGTATGGTACAGTTCAACTGTACAGGAACAGGTTAGGTGAACTGACTGATGGAGAGACCTACCCTCTGAGCTTGGCTGTGCCAAATCAAAGGGAACGACAAGTTGGGGAGTTCGCCGTACTGGAAAAAGGATTTGCTTGGTCAGCCCTCAGAGGCTTCTACACTAGAAAACTTCATAGCTGTAGTTCCCCTTTTTGTGACAACAAACATGGCAGTTGTAGTACATTCAGGGCTTAGGCATTTTTATTACAGTGTAATGTATCCCTGGCATAGAAAAACCACGGTGGTAAAAGCCTGAGCCCTGTTTACCCTACAGCTTTTACTGTTGCTGCACCACGGTGAGCTAGTATGCATTACAGCATATTAAGTATTTTGAACACCATGTCTACTACTGTAGTTTAATTTTTAAGGAATCTGCTAAGTGTGTACATGTCCAATGCACTACTGCTAGGAGCTGCAAAACCCAATGAGCCATAAAAGGGTTCTAAGCATTTCTAAAGCATTCTGAGATTCTCTGAAAGGCAAGTGAAAAGGATGATCGCTGCAAAGAATTTTCAAAGCCATCAGCTATCCTTGAGGTATTCTTCCTACCCTCAATGGACACTCCATTCTGACCGGCTACACTAGCAAATCTGTGTAACATAAGACCTCCCATTTTAGATATTTCTGTCATTTGTTGTCTTTGTTTCCATCTAAGAGGATGAAGAGGCTTGTATGTTACTTAGTCTAAAGAGGAGTTTGTGCATTTGTAACTTAGACCAGTTTGGCTTTAAAGCTGCAGTGTCATCTATAGGCAGCTACTTTATGAGCAAGGTCAGCCAAAAAGACTTGCCTTTCAGGGATTAAGTATCTTTGGTTCCATACTTTTTTTCCATTCTGTGGACAGATCAGTTTAGTATGGACTATTGCCTTTGCCTTGACTGCAGTTACAGCTGTCACTGAAACCACTGCATGTATGTAGTGCAGTAAGATGCAGTCTTCAGCAGATTCCAAGCGTGGCTCTTGCTGAAGCTTGCAAAAGCACTGACTGAAAATCCTGTTCACTTCAGCATATAAGTATAAGGTCTCTAAGTATCCCTTTCCATACCACACAGACCTCATTCAGAGCGGATATTTGTTCTGTGGAGGCTCCTAGGAACGTCACTGTGAGTAGAGACCCCATATATCTAAAGGACAGTCTGTTCCTCATACCTCCATAACTTTGTGAGCAGACGTTCCTTTTAGCATACTGCAATATTAAAAAATAAATGGGCCACTCATTTTGAGACTAATATATTTCAGGAGATTCCCTTGAAATACTTTGCCTTCTCATTCACTGAGAACTGATTACCCACCTGTAGGAAAACGGGCGGCATCTCCGGTGCTGTAGCTCCTCGTATCGTGACTAGCTGAAATCTGTGAGTAGCCATATCTGTTATGGAGAGGTAAACCTACTGACTAGAAAATAATTGGACAAATTAGGACCTATCCCTAGACCGAACAGTTCAACAACAAGATGTGGTAGCTGTGAAACATCTTAGACGTTTGTAATGTCCTAATCACTTATCTAGCGACCCATATCTGCACGTCATTGCTTGAGACTTGTTTAGCTTTGCTTACATACATGAGCTGTGGACTTGCACATGCATAAGCAATATTTTTTATTTCTTTTGCAACAACTTCTTTAGTTGTATAAATACACAGGTGAGTAATCTTCTGCATATTCTCCTCTCCCACCCTTATACCTGTGCTGTGTCCACTTGAACAAAATATAGTAATGGCCATACTGGGTCAGACCAATGGTCCATCTAGCCAAGTACCCTGGCTTCCAACAGTGGCCAACACCAGGTGCTTCAGAGGGAATGAACAAAACAGGCAATCATCGAGTGATCCATCCCCTGTTGTCCGCTCCCAGCTTCTGGCAAGAAGAGGCTAGGGACACTCAGAGCATGGGGTTGCATCCCTGACCATCTTGGCTAATAACCATTGGAGGATCTATTCTCTATCTAATCTTTTTTGACCCCTGTTATAGTTTTGGCCTTCACAAGATCCTCTGGCAATGAGTTCCACAGGTTGACTAGGTTTTGTGTGAAGAAATATTTCCTTCTCTTTGTGTCAAACCTCTACTGCCCATTAATTTCATTGAGTGACCCCTGGTTCTTGTGTTTATGTGAAGGGGTAAATAACGCTTCCTTATTCTTTTTTTCCACATCATTCATGATTTTATAGACCTTTATCATATCCCCCCTTCGTCGTCTCTTTTCCAGGCTGAAATGTCCCAGACTTTTTAATCTCTCCTCATATGGAAGCTGTTCCATACCCCTAATCATTTTTGTTGCCCTTCTCTGAACTATTTCCAATTCAGATATTTTTTTTTGAGATCTGCAGGTCACCAGAACTGCACACAGTATTCAAGGTGTGAACGTATCATGGATTTCTATCGTGGTATTATGATATTTTTCTGGTTTAGCTCCCCCTTTCCTAATAGTTCCTAACATTCTGTGAGCCTTTTTCGACAGCTGCTACACAGTGAGCAGATGTTTTCAGAGAGCTCTCCACAATGACTCCAAGATCTTCCAGGAGTGGTAACAGCTAATTTAGAGCTCATCACTTTGTATGTATACTGGGATTATGTTTTCCAATGTGCATTACTTTTGCATTGATCAACATTGAATTTAATCTGCCATTTGTTGCCTAGTCACCCAGTTAATGAGAGCCCTTTGTAACTCTTTGCAGTGAGTTTTGGACTTAACTCTCTTTAGTAATTTTGTATCATCTGCAAATTTTGCCACCTCACTGTTTTACTCCTTTTTCCAGATTATTTATGAATATGTTGAACAGCACAGGTCCCAGTACAGATTCCTGGGGGACACCACTATTTACCTCTGTCCATTCTGAAAATTGACCATTTATTCCTACCCTTTGTTTCCTGTCTCTTTTAACCAGTTACTGATCCATGAGAAGACTTTCCCTCTTATCCCACGACTGCTTACTTTGCTTTAGAGCCTTTGGTGAGGGACTTGTCAAAGGCTTTCTGAAAGTCTAAGTACACTATATCCACTGGATCCCCCTTCTCCACCTGTTTGTTTGACCCCCTCAAAAAATTCTAATAGGTTGACAAAAACCGTGTTGACGCTTCCCTAACAAATTGTGTTCATCTATATGTCTGATAATTGTGTTCTTTGCCATAGTATAAATCAATTTGCCTGATACTGAAGTCAGGCTTACTGGCCTATAATTGCCAGGATCACCTCTGGAGCCTTTTTTTTAAAATCGGTGTCACATCAGCTATCCTCCAGTCATCTGGTATGGGGGCTGATTTAAATGATAGGTTACATGCCATAGTTAGTAGCGCTGCAATTTCATATGAGAGTTCAAACTCTCGGGTGAATCCCATCTGGTCCTTGTGACTTCTTATTGTTTACCTTACCGATTTGTTCCAAAACCTCTTCTATTGACACCTCTGTCTGGGACAGTTCCTCAGATTTGTCACCTAAAAAGAATGGGTCAGGTGTGGGCATCTCGCTCACATCCTCTGGAGTGAAGACTGATGCAAATAATTCATTTAGCTTGTGTATAACAGCCTTGTACACCTTCCTTTAGCACCTTGATTGTCCAGTGGCCCCACCAGTTGATAGGATTCCTGCTTCTGATGTACTTTGAAAAAAAAAATGTATGTTTGTAAAACTTGTGTATTTATGTAAATGATATATAGACATATAAGACCAAACTGAACACAATACTTTCCAACCAGTAATTATTTTTATATAATAAAAAATACCAAAGCCCTAGCCTGAAAACCACTGCTGTTTTATGAACTTGACCACTAGTGAATGGATGTTGTTTCGTCATTATGGAGCATAAGAGCAGAAAATTGAGGGCAAATAGGAACTGCTGATGGAACCCTATGCTCTACATTATACTTCTGTATTTGAACATTCAGGGGACCAAATGTGGAAAGTGTATAGGGAAAAGATTTCTCAAAAGGAGACGTCTAACTCAGGCCCAAGCATCCTTTTTTTCCCCCTAGCAAAAATCCATTTTCTATTGACTGGAACTAATTTGTATGACAACTGAGCTATTTCTTGATTCCTGTGCATGATCCTGGAGAACGTGATCCCTGGTGATGTTCTTGCCT